TTAGTGAAAAAAAAGTTAATTAAATTCTTATTCAGGAATGCCCCTTTGTAAAACCATGCTGAGATTCGTTGATTAGAATTATGCTTTTCAAGGTGGCTACGAACTGCCTCGGCAATTATTGATTCCATAAATTTTCCCAACTATGGAGGTTAGGCTTATTGGTTCTTAGTTCGAACTAAGGGACGTCACCTGTATGATAAATAGGTATCACATTTGCATTTTCCACTTATTGGCACCATGCCAGTTTGTAGTGAAATGTGAAGATTAGCCGAAGGTTGCTAAGCTCCTCTTTCTACATCCTTTAGAACCCTTAACTTACGTTATCTGGGCCTGGGGGATTTGTTAGGTTTTAATTTATCTATTTGCAAGGACCATGTCATTGTGAACCCTAATCGTGCACAGTTTATTTATTCGTCCTGTTCTACATAATTATCATTACTGGCAATATCGCTGGTATCTTCCTGTGTAAAAACTGTGAGAAGTATGTGTTAAAATTCTACACATTTCATTATCATGTCAGTGAGCTGACCCGAGGAACTTTTTGAGTGGGCCTATTCTTGTCCCTGAATTTTACTTCTGTATACCTGAAGAATCCATTTGGTTAGTCTTCGGATTCGCTTGGCAACGTTTAACCTCATAATCCTTTTTGCTTTTCTAATTCCTTTTTTATGTCTTCTCTTTACTGAATATATCGATTTTCTTATGCCACCTCTCATCTTTTGATTTGCCTATATATGCCTCTCTTTTTGACCAATCAGATATTTTAATCTATGTCATCCATTTGGATCATTTTTGTTTGATCTGTTTCCCTTTTTGGAAATAATTTGACTGAAGCAGTATAAAACTAATGCGCCTGGAAAGCATCATAATTCGGCAACCTTCATCCCACCTATGACCTTTGTGACAGGTCATTCCAGTTCAGCCACCTAAGTAATTTTTTAGTTCCTATGAAATCAGCCAAGCGAAAGTCAGGGACGGGACTTGGTTGGACCATTATTAGGGGATTTCCATGATATATTAAAACTCCCCAGTGATTTCTGATCACTTTCCTAAAGCTCATCATTACCTCAAGATTATTAATTTTGTGGGTTTCCCTACTGGCATGACCAGGTCAAGGAGGTTATTTCCCCTAGTTGGCTCTGTCACAAACTGTTTTAAAAAACAATCCTGGATCGTATCAAGAAAGTCACCTGACTCTAAATTTCCTGTCAAATTTTGCTCCAGTCAATCTGTCTATAGTTGAAATCTCCCATTATCACAACATTTTCGTATGTAGATGCCATACGAATTTCGTCCCATAGAAGTTTACTGCACTCCCTATCAAGATTTGGGGCCCTGTAAATCACACCCAAAATTAGTTTTTCTCGGCCCTCGAGAAGCTGTAACCAAACAGATTCAGTGGCTGACGCTTCTAATTTAATATCTTGTCTAACACAACAATTTAAATTGTCTCTGACATACATCGCTACTCCACCACCTTTCCTGTTGACCCTGTCAGTGTGGAATAATTTATAGCCTTGTATGTGACATTCAGAGGGCATCTCTCTATCTTTCAGATTGAGCCAGGTCTCTGTTATAGCAATAATATCTATGTTTCCTGCACTTGCAATTAATCTTAGCTCATCTATCTTATTTCTTACACTCCTGCTATTAGTATAGTAAACCTTAAGGGAGCTAGTCCCTTGCTGCCCTCTGCTGTCCCCCTTTGTTTGCTGACCTGATCTATTGTCTTTATAACTTCATGCTGAATGCCTTTTATACATTTACTGTTTCCAACCCTAGTGTTGCAACCTGCTTGTTTCCCACACACACCCATACCTCTATCTTCCAATCAGTTTAAAATCATAGGCATTTCACCAATGGCCTTCTCAATCGAGTCTGCAAGTGCTACCACCCCTGCCCCAGAGAGATGTACCCCATCCCTTGCATACATATCATGTTTGCCATAAAAGTTGTTCCAGTTGTCAATGAATGTGATTGCAAGTTCCTTGCAGTATCTGTCTAGCCAGCATTTACACCAATTGCCCTAGACAACCATTCATTTCCTACTCCCCTTCTAGGCAAGATGCTACATATGATTGGGATCCCTCCCTAAAACTTAATGAAATCTATAGCTGACCTGTACTTATCTAGCAGCTCTTCTCTCCTACCCTTCCCAATATCATTTCCACCAGCACTGAGACAGATAATGGGCTTGTTCCCATACCTGACATGATATTATCCAGCCTGTTGACAATGTCCCCAACACCAGCTCCAGGGAAGCACACTCTATCTCTCATCTTCTTATTCCTATTACAAAAAGCACGGTCAATATATCTTACCTGAGAGTCACTAACCACAAGAATGCGCTTACCTCCATTAGCAGGGGCAGTAGTACCCTTACCTTCACTGGCCACTGAAGTACATTCATCCTGAAGAACAGAGAAGCGATTTCCTACCTTCAGATCTTCACTCTTAACTTTCCTTACTCTGATGCGCCTCCCATTACTGTGAACCACTCGCCACTTGTAGCAGGTGCTGGGCTGCACCTCACTGCTGGTAGCCGTTGCTACCTCCCCAACTACAGCCTCCTCACAGCGAGAGACAGACTGCACCTCACTGCTAGAAGCCTCATTTCCCACAACTCCAGCCACCTCACACTCTCTCCCAGACCCATTGAGGTGGACCTTCAGCCTCCTAATCTCCTCCTGGAGAAGCAAGACCTGCTCCTTCAACTCTCCAACCTCAATTTTTAAAACACTGCAGAAGCAAGCCATGCTTTGTAACCGTCCACGCTAATCCCCAAAGCAGCTCAGGGTCTGTGACCTCACGTGACGACTGACCACTGACCACTGACGTAGTAGTAGTAGTAGTAGTAGTAGTAGTATCATGTGGGAGTTCGACACGTGGATTAGGTAAAGAAATACTCACGTAGGCTGGTAGTACGTATAATAACAGATAATGTGGAGTGCGCCCTTACAGCCGTACCTATCTCTCTGCTCTCTTAACACTGACTGACTGGAAGACGTGTAACGATGCACAAAGCACGGAGGAGCAGGTGGATGACAGGAGACAGGCTGGATGATAGGCTGACTGGCGTTCACTTCCACAGTCTGGCTTACTGACTGGCTTAATTGCAAAATCCGGGTCAACCCCTCGGAGATTTAAGCAATTAGCACACGAACTAAGCCAGGGGGGTTGACCCGGATTTTGCAATTAAGCCAGTCAGTAAGCCAGACTGTGGAAGTGAACGCCAGTCAGCCTATCATCCAGCCTGTCTCCTGTCATCCACCTGCTCCTCCGTGCTTTGTGCATCGTTACACGTCTTCCAGTCAGTCAGTGTTAAGAGAGCAGAGAGATAGGTACGGCTGTAAGGGCGCACTCCACATTATCTGTAATTATACGTACTACCAGCCTACGTGAGTATTTCTTTACCTAATCCACGTGTCGAACTCCCACATGATAGTAGTAGCAGTAGTGTAGTAGTAGTGTAGTAGTAGTAGTAGTAGTAGTAGTGTAGTAGTAGTAGTGTAGTAGTAGTAGTAGTAGTGTAGTAGTAGTAGTAGTAGTAGTAGAAGTAGTTAGTAGTAGTATGTTAGTAGTAGTAGTAGTTTAGTATTATGTAGGTAGTAGTAGTTTAGTATAGTAGTAGTAGTAGTAGTAGTTAGTTTAGTAGAAGTAGAGTAGGTAGTAGTAGTAGTAGTAGTGTAGTAGTAGAATAGTAGTAGTTGTAGTAGTAGTAGTATAGTAGTGTAGTAGTAGTAGTAGTAAAGTATAGTTATAGAATAGTAGTAGTGTAGTAAGTAGTAGTAGTAGTAGTAGTTTAGTAGTAGTAGATTAGTAGTAGTAGAGTAGTAGTATAGAAGTAGTAGTAGTGTAGTAGTATAGTAAGTAGTAGTAGTAGTAGTAGTAGTAGTAGTAGTAGTTAGTAGTATGTAGTAGTAGTAGAAGTAGTAGTATAGCAAGTAGAAGTAGTGTAGTAGTAGTAGTAGAATAGTAGTGTAGTAGTAGTAGTTAGTAGTAGTGTAGCTAGTAGTAGAATAGTAGTAGTAGTATAGTAGTAGATATGTAGCAGTAGAAGTAGTAAGTATAGTATAGTAGTAGTAAGTAGTAGTAGTAGATATAGTAGTAATGTAGTAGTAGTAGCAGTATAGTAGTAGTAGTAGTAGTAGTAGTATAGTAGTAGGTAGTAGTTAGTAGTATAGTAGTAGTAGTTAGTAGTAGTAGTAGTAATAGTAGTAGTAGTAAGTAGTAGTAGCAGTAGTATTAGTAGTAGTAGTAGTAGTAGTAGTAAGTATAGTAGTAGTAGTATGTAGTATAGTAGTTAGTAGAGTAGTAGTAGTAGTAGTATAGTAGTAGTAGTAGTAGTAGTTAGTAGTAGTAGTAGTAGTAGTAGTAGTAGTGAAGTAGTAGTAGTTAGTAGTAGTATAGTATAGTAGTAGTAGTAGTAGTGTAGTAGTAGTATAGTTAGTAGTGTAGTAGTAGTATCAGTAGTTGTGTAGTAGTAGTAGTAGTAGTAGTAGTAGTAGTGTAGTAGTAGAAGTGTAGTAGTAGTAGTAGTAGTATTGGTAGTAGTAGTAGTGTAGTAGTATCAGTAGTTGTGTAGTAGTAGTAGTAGTATTAGCAATAGTAGTAGTAGTAGTAGCAGCTGCAGCAGCAGCAGTAGTAGTGCTGATAGTAGTAGTAAAAGTAGTAGTGGTGATAGCAGTAGTAGTAGTGGTATTAGTAATAGTAGTAGTAAAAAGTATTGGAAGTAGCAGTAGTAATAGTGTTGGCAGAGGTGGTAGTAGTGGTAGTATTAGCAGTAGTAGTAGTGATGTAGACTGTCAGGTTAAAATCGTATTGGTAACACTGTAGTAGCAAAATAATACTGTACTAAACCACTGTACGGGTAGGGGTTGAACTCGCGGCGCGAGTCGTAAAAATACAGACTGACTCGTTACCCACTGGGCTAACGGGTCCTATGGTGTAACCTTCCTATGGTGTATAAATATACCTAGTTGGGTGAATCTTATTGTAGCCAGATAACGCGTCAGTCTGAAGTTTTACGAACCACTCGCCGCGAGTTCCATCCCCGCCCATACCGTGTTTATTTTTGCAATTTTGCGAGTGATGACTGTACTTACTGTTAAGTTGTAAAGTGCCCGAGGGTAGCAGAGTGATCCTTGTATCATGTTCTGGCAGGTGGTGGTCATCCTTGGTCCAGGTGACTCTAGGCACAGGGTCACCCTCAGCTTGGCAGACCAGGAGTGCCAAGGCGCCAGGGGTGACCGTCAGGTTGCGTGGTGCCACGGAAATGATAGGTGGTGGGTGGAGGGTGGGCGCTGGCACGTCAAGCAGTGCCCTGGCGACCAGTGACCCAGCGGCAGACACTGCAGCACAGGAGTACCATCCTGCTAGCTCCCGCCGTACCTGCAGCAGTGACCAGGTACATCACAGTCAGTTAGGTACCTGTTGCAGTGACCAGGTACATCACAGCAATGACCAGGTATATCATAATCAATTAAGCACCTAATCACTGCTACAGGTACCTAATTGATTACAATGTACCTGGTCACTGCTGCAGGCACCTAATCAATTATAATGTACCTGGTCACTGCTGCAGATACATCACTATCAGTTTGGTACCTGCTGCATTGACCAGGTATATCACAATCAGTTGGGTACCTGCTGCAGTGACCAGGTATATCACAGTCAGATAGGTACCTGCAGCAGTAACCAAGTACATCACAATCAGTTAGGTGCCTGTTGCAATGACGTGTTACATTACAATCAGTTAGGTAACTGCTGTAGTAACCAGGTATCTCACAGACAGTTAGGTACCTGCTGTATTGTGTCAGCAAGTTAAGAACACAACAAGAGTGAGAAAGGATAAACAGAAAAGTGAAACTGTGAAAAACATCTCAATTGTAGCAACCATGATGGGCCTAGTTCATAGGCCTTTTGTGTCTCCATATGCTCTTGCTCTACCATCCACAGGATGGATATGGAGTGCACAATAAATTAGCCACATCGGTGGCAAAATTTAAATTTCCATGATGTAGGTACATTAGTCTTCACAATCCATACCACAAGCGGGGTTTGAACCCGTGGTCAGTCTCAAAACTCCAGACCGTCAAGTTAGCCACCGTGGGTTCAAACCCTGCCCGTGTTATGGTTTGTTTGCAATCGTGCCATTTCGATTAGTCTTCACCTTTTCTACCTAATACAGTGATCTGCCTCGTTATAAGTACATAACTACATTCTGTGTAGCTTTTACAATAAGAGGATAAACCAGCAAAGCTAGATACATTATTCTCCCAGAATTGCATCTAATGTAGGAGAAATCTAATATGAAAGGCCACTGATGGGCTATCACTGTCAGTACATAACTACATCTTATGTACCTGCTAATGTGACCAGGATTGCTGTAGGTACATAACTATGCCTTATGTTCTTATTACTGTGACCAGCTGTTGGTGCATAACCATGACTTATGTACCTGCTCCTGTGACCAGCCTTGTTGTTGGTGCGTATCTATGGCTTATGTATCTGCTACAGTGGTGTCAGCATATTAAGGACACATTGTTCACCCGTGAGTGCATCTGATGAAGTGGAACATGAAAGGTTCTAGGGAGCTAGTACCATGTTGCAGGTACATATTTACAACTAGACACCGTCCCGGTGAAGAACTGGGGTCACCTACACCTGGTTGACTCACTGCCTCACCTGATTAACTCACCTGGTTGATAATTAGCGTGCCCTCAGCGTTCACCCACACGTTGGGCATGTCTCCTGGCTGCCCAGACGGGGTATCCTGGCGGGGTAGTAGTAGGTCGTGGTCGTCCTGACGACTCCAAACCACCAGGGGCGGAGGACGACCCACAGCCAGGCACTCGAAAGCCGCTGACGACCCTGCAGAAGCCTTCACATCCTGGGGTCGTACCAGGAATTCAGGAGCAGCTGTAAGGAGGGTCGTGGCTACTGAGCAGGTCGTCACGCTCGTGATCCGGGGAAGTGGAGCAGTTCTTCGCCCCTTCCTCGGATCAAATGTGATAATCTACCTACCTATCTATCTATCAGCATTAAATATATATCAGCCTGAAGTATATCTACCAGCATAAATTGCGCAAAATACTAATCTATCAATCTGAAGTATTTACCAGTATAAAGTATCTATCTGCTAGTATAGTGATTATCTCCAGTATAAAGTCTATTTGCCAGCATAACATGCCTATCTACCAGCATAACATACCTATCTACCAGCATAACATACCTATCTACCAGTATAACATACCTATCTACCAGCATAACATACCTATCTACCAGTATAACATGCCTATCTACCAGCATAACATACCTATCTACCAGTATAACATGCCTATCTACCAGCATAACATGCCTATCTACCAGCATAACATGCCTATCTACCAGTATAACATGCCTATCTACCAGCATAACATGCCTATCTACCAGCATAACATGCCTATCTACCAGCATAACATGCCTATCTACCAGTATAACATGCCTATCTACCAGCATAACATGCCTATCTACCAGCATAACATGCCTATCTACCAGCATAACACAACTATCTACCAGCATAACACAACTATCTACCAGCATAGCGTGCCTGTCTACCAGCATGGATACGTACTGTAGACAGTGAGAGTAGCGTTGGTCCTGGCCGTACCAACGACATTCACGGCCTCGCAGACATATGTATCCTCATCCCCTGGGGTGACACGTCCGATCCTGGGGTAGATAGTAGAGGGCAGAGTGAGTAGATGACAGTGAATGAAAGAGGAAGAACTCTACAATAGTCTGGGTAATTCAGTACAGGGAAGTTACTGTTACTTGGGTAATTAGGATATCATGAAGCATTCCACTGTGATTCAGTAGCTACGATACCTGCAAAATTACGCTCCAACTGTACTGGAGTTACTAGCAGTGTGTAGATCCATATCTCTCACTCCAGTGTTGTTATGGCAGTGTATACTACAAACTCTGGCCATACAATAGAGCGGAAAAATAATGTAAGGGACCTGGGAGTAGTAATGTCTGAGGATCTCACTTTCAAGGATCACAACAGTGCCACGATCACAAGTGCAAAGAAAATGATAGGATGAATAAGGAGTGAGTTTGGACGTGGATAGTGAGTTTGGACGTGGATAGTGAGTTTGGACGCGGATAGTGAGTCTGGACGCGGATAGTGAGTCTGGACGCGGATAGTGAGTTTGGTGTAGTGTCACTTTACTTGTTTTTGTGTGTGTGTTTAAGAAAGACAATTTTTCGCCGGCATTAAATTACCATCAACAGTTTCAGGAACAGCTACGACACGAGACACGAACGGTAATTTACAGGTCAAGACGATGATTTTCAAAACTCCGTTGTGCAAGAATGGTATATAATACTGACAAGATGAAATTAAGACACATGTGCAACATCTGGGTATCTTTATTGTAGACGTTTCGCCCTCCAGTGGCTATGTCCTAGAATTTATATTGATAAAGCCACTGGATGGCGAAACTGCCTAAGGTGTCCCAACTCGTCTGGGATAATTAATATCCCTAAACAATATTCGTACATAAAGGCATCCTTCCTAGGCTGGGATACCTAATATCCCTGATCAATGTTCGTACAGGATGGATAATGAGAACCTTCAAAACTAGGGATGCCAAGCCCATGATGACACTCTTCAGGTCACTTGTTCTATCTAGGCTGGAATATTGCTGCACACTAACAGCACCTTTCAAGGCAGGTGAAATTGCTGACCTAGAAAATGTACAGAGAACCTTCACGGCACGCATAAGGGAGATAAAACACCTCAATTACTGGGAGCGCTTGAGGTTTCTAAACCTGTATTCCCTGGAACGCAGGAGGGAGAGATACATGATTATATACACCTGGAAAATCCTAGAGGGACTAGTACCGAACTTGCACACGAAAATCACTCACAACGAAAGCAAAAGACTTGGCAGACGATGCAACATCCCCCCAATGAAAAGCAGGGGTGTCACTAGCACGTTAAGAGACCATACAATAAGTGTCAGGGGCCCGAGACTGTTCAACTGCCTCCCAGCATACATAAGGGATATTACCAACAGACCCCTGGCAGTCTTCAAGCTGGCACTGGACAAGCACCTAAAGTCGGTTGCTGACCAGCCGGGCTGTGGCTCGTACGTTGGTTTGCGTGCAGCCAACAGTAACAGCCTGGTTGATCAGGCTCTGATCCACCAGGAGGCCTCGTCACAGACCGGGCCGCGGGGGCGTTGACCTCCGGAGCTCTCTCCAGGTAAACTCCAGGTAATAAGGGTATCCCACGTTATCTGGGATAACTTAAACAAAGTCACGTGTGTTTCCCAGCCTGCTGAGTGGGACAGATTTCCTAAGGCAGCTCTTAAGACTGTCTCTGTCTTAAGTATCTCCTACAGTATCTCCTACAGTATCTCCTACAGTATCTCCTACAGTATCTCATAGTTTCTCCTTCAGTATCTCCTTGAATCTCTTACAGTATATCCTAGTATATCTTACAGTATCTCCCTGTATCTCTTACAGTATCTCATCGTATCTCCTAGTATCTCTTATAGTATCTCCAAGTATCTTCTACAGTATCTCCTAGTATCTTCTACTATCTCTTACAGTATCTCCTAGTATCTCTTACATTATCTCCTACTATCTCTTACAGTATCTACTAGTATCTCTTGCAGTATCTCCTAGTACCTCTTACAGTATCTCCTAGTATCTCTTACAGTATCTCCTACTATCTCTTACAGTATCTCCTACTATCTCTTAGAGTATCTCTTAGTATCTCTTGCAGTATCTCCTAGTATCTCTTATAGTATCTCCTACTATCTCTTACAGTGTCTCCTAGTATCTCTTACAGTATCTCCTACTGTCTCTTACAGTATCTAGTAGTATCTCTTGCAGTATCTACTAGTATCTCTTGCAGTATCTCCTAGTATCTCTTACAGTATCTCCTAGTATCTTCTAATATCTCTTACAGTATCTACTAGTATCTCTTGCAGTATCTACTAGTATCTCTTGCAGTATCTCCTACTATCTCTTACAGTATCTACTAGTATCTCTTGCAGTATCTACTAGTATCTCTTGCAGTATCTCCTAGTATCTCTTAGAGTATCTCCTAGTATCTTTTACAGTAACTCGCTAACATCAACTTCGCAACATCAACTTCGCAAACATCAACTTCGCTAACATCAACTTCGCTAACATCAACTTCGCTAACATCAACTTCGCTAACATCAACTCGGTTTATACATATACAACTAAAAAATAATCAGAAATCAACGAAGACTGTAAACGGAATCTAATCCCATTAGGAACCATGAAGACGTATAAGGATTTAACTCAAAGTTTGGCCAATAGTTTACCTGTGTGGGAAGAGCCAGATCCTTCTGAAAGGTGATTCAATCACATTATGGGATCCACTGCTCTTGTGCACACACAGGCGCTCCAATCACATTATTAGAGCCCATACACTCGTCCTCACAATAGTCTCCCACTTTCCAGCAGCAACAATGGTGTGTGTGTGTGTGTGTGTGTGTGTGTGTGTGTGTGTGTGTGTGTGCGTGCGTGTACTCACCTAATTGTGGTTGCAGGGGTCGAGACTCAGCTCCTGGTCCCGCCTCTTCACTGATCGCTACTAGGTCCTCTCCCTCTCTGCTTCCTGAGCTTTGTCATATCTCTTCTTAAAACTAAGTATGGTTCCTGCCTCCACTACATCACTTGCTAGGCTATTCCACTTCCTGACGACTCTATGACTGAAGAAATACTTCCTAACGTCCCTGTGACTCGTCTGAGTCTTCAGCTTCCAGTTGTGACCCCTTGTTTCTGTGTCCCCTCTCTGGAACATTCTATCTCTGTCCACCTTGTCTGTTCCCCGCAGTATCTTGTATGTCGTTATAATGTCTCCCCTGGCCCTTCTGTCCTCCAGTGTCGTCATTCCGATTTCCCTTAATCTTTCCTCGTACGACATTCCCCTGAGCTCTGGGACTAGCCTTGTTGCAAACCTTTGTACTTTCTCTAACTTCTTGACGTGCTTGACCAGGTGTGGGTTCCAGACTGGTGCTGCATACTCCAGTATGGGCCTAACATACACAGTGTACAGTGTCTTAAACGATTCCTTATTAAGGTATCGGAACGCTATTCTCAGGTTTGCCAGGCGCCCGTATGCTGCAGCAGTTATTTGGTTGATGTGTGCATCCGGTGACGTGTTCGGTGTTATGGTCACCCCAAGGTCTTTCTCCCTGAGTGAGGTCTGTAGTCTTTGTCCACCTAGCCTATACTCTGTCTGCGGTCTTCTTTGCCCCTCCCCAATCTTCATGACTTTGCATTTGGCAGGGTTGAATTCGAGAAGCCAGTTTCTGGACCACATGTCCAGACTGTCCAGGTCTCTTTGCAGTCCTGCCTTATCCTCATCCGATTTAATTCTTCTCATCAACTTCACATCATCTGCGAATAGGGACACTTCAGAGTCTGTTCCTTCCATCATGTCGTTCGCATATATCAAAAATAACACTGGTCCTAGAACTGACCCCTGTGGGACCCCGCTCGTCACAGGCGCCCACTGTGATACCTCTTCACGTACCATGACTCGTTGTTGCCTCCCTGTCAGGTATTCCCTGATCCATTGCAGTGCCCTCCCTGTTATATGAGCCTGATCCTCCAGCTTCTGCACTAATCTCTTGTGGGGAACTGTGTCAAAAGCCTTCCTGCAGTCTAGGAAAATGCAGTCAACCCACCCCTCTCTCTCGTGTCTTACTTCTGTTACCTTGTCATAAAACTCCAGGTTTGTGACACAGGATTTGCCTTCCATGAACCCATGCTGGTTTTCATTTATAATCTTGTTCCGTTCCAGGTGTTCCACCACTCTCCTCCTGATAATCTTCTCCATGACTTTGCACACAATACATGTCAGAGACACAGGTCTGTAGTTTAGCGCCTCATTTCTGTTTCCTTTCTTAAATATGGGGACTACATTTGCTGTCTTCCATTTCTCAGGTAGTTGCCCAGTTTCAAGGGATGTGTTGAAGATTGTGGTTAGGGGCACACACAGCATCTCTGTTCCTTCTCTAAGGACCCATGGGGAGATGTTGACCGGTCCCATCGCCTTTGAGGTATTAAGGTCACTTAGCAGCTTCTGCACCTCCTCCTCGGTTGTTTGTATGTCATCCAACACTTGTTGCTATATTCCCTCTTGATGTTCCCTTCTGTGCTGTCTTCCCACAGCCCTTCCTGTCTCTACTGTAAAAACTTCCTTAAATCTCCTGTTTAGCTCCTCACATACCTCCTGATCATTTCTTGTGAGTTCTCCACCTTCTGTCCTCAGTCTGATCACCTGGTCTTTGACTGTTGTCTTCCTCCTGATGTGGCTATACAACAGTTTTGGGTCAGTCTTGATTTTCGATGCTATGTTATTTTCATACTGTCGCTGGGCCTCCCTCCTTACCTGTGCATACTCGTTCCTGGCTCTGCGACTAATCTCCCTATTTTCATTTTGTTCTCTGCCTTCTGTACTTTTTCCATTCTCTATTGCACTTTGTTTTTGCCTCCTTACACCGTCGGGTAAACCAGGGGCTCGTTCTGGTCTTCCCATTGTTTCTGTTGCCCTTGGGAATAAACCTTTCCACTGCCTCCTTGCATTTTGTTGTTGCATATTCCATCATTTCATTTACTGGCTTTCCTGCCAGTTCTCTGTCCCACGGAACCTCCTGCAGGAAGTTCCTCAACCCTATGTAGTCCCCTCTTTTATAGTCTGACTTTTCCCATTCAACTCCTGTTACTCTCTCCACTTGCAACTCTACTATGTGTTCAAAGCACAGAACCACGTGGTCACTAGCTCCTAGGGGACTCTCATATGTGATGTCCTCAATGTCTGAACTGCCCAGGATGAACACAAGGTCCAATCTTGCTGGTTCATCCTCCCCTTTCACTCTGGTAGTGTCCTTAACATGTTGGTGCATGAGGTTTTCCAGCACCACATCCAACATCTTGGCTCTCCATGTTTTAGGACCCCCATGTGGCTCCAGGTTTTCCCAGTCAATCTCCCTGTGGTTGAAATCCCCCATAACCAGCATCTTTGCTCTGCTGGAGTGAGCTCTTCTTGCCACCTCAGCAAGTGTGTCCACCATTCCTCTGTTGCTCTCTTCATATTCCTCTCTTGGCCTCCTGCAGTTCTGTGGTGGATTATACATCACCGCAATGACCACCTTGTGCTCCCCAGACTGAAGTGTACCTACTATGTAGTCCCTTTCTCCTGTCTCGTCTATGCCTCCCATTTTCTCGAATTTCTATCGGTTTTTTAGGAGCAGAGCAACCCCTCCTCCCCCTCTGCCCCTTCTATCTTTCCTCATGATCTGTTATCCTGGTGGGAAGATTGCATCTGTTATTGTCTCTGTGAGTTTTGTTTCTGTAACTGCTATGATGTCTGGGGACTTCTCATTGATTCTTTCTTGCCATTCCTCATATTTATTCGTTAATCCATATGCATTTGTGTACCAAACCTTCAACTTCTGTTCTAATACTGTAACTGTGGTCCTGGGGGAATACTGGGGCTGGGAGAGCAGGAGCCCTGGTGGGGGCCTGTGGGGGGTTGCAGTGGAGGTGGAGAAAGAGCTCCCATAGGGGGTTGCTGTAGGGGTAGGGTCCGTGGTGCAGGGGGTGGAAACAGAGGGATCGGTGTGTGATGGTTGGTTTGGATTTTTCAGTTGCCTTGGGGGTGTCGTGGCTGGAGTCCTTCTGCAGGTGTTTCTGGGGGGTGTGCTTGTCCTTCCACCTGTTCCTGGGTTATTCTGCTCTCCTTTTTCGTTTCCTCCCATTTCTCCTTTCGTTTTTGCACTCTCTCTTTCAGTATTGTTCTTTCCTCCTGTGTTCTGTCTTGATCGAGGTACACACTCCGGAACTCCTGCTTGCCTCTCAGTCGTGCTTTCTCCTGCAGGATCATGGTTCGAGTTGATTCTGCCATGAAAATTACTTTGAGAGGCCGATTCCTTTTCTTTGTGAACCACCCGATTCTCCAAAAAATTGCCACCTGGGTCATGTCTCCCTCGCCTATCACCTTCATGATATCTTCAATAGCTTTTTTCTCCTCCTGCTTTCTTTCATCATAAGTTTCCCCTTTAGCTTCGTCTAGCCCATAGACAAAAACTGATCTCTCCCTTTCCACCTCCCACTGTGACTCCCATTGCATCCTCTGATGTGTTTTAGTTCCTTCCTGTGGACTGTTCCTTCCTTCAGTCCCTTCCCTAGCTGTGGCCCCTGTGCTCATTGGTTTGTCCTTTCTGTTCACCTGTTCCTGGGCCCCACAAGTGTCTTGTAAGGTCCCTGCACATGTCCTAGTTCCTTCAATGTCTTCCAACCTCTCATTCTGTCCTAGTGTGCTCCCTGTCTTTGTTTTGGCCCCATGTGGGTTTGACAGGACCTCTGCATACAGTTTAGCTTCCATGCTTCCTTCAGACCTGTTGTCTGTGTTTGATGTAAACATTGCTGATGCACTTCTGTATTATCTTTGTCTCTGTGCTGTGATACCAAGCTGTGGCTAATGTTTTATCTATGTCTGCTGTGATACCAAGCTGTGGCTAGTGTTTTACCTATGTCTGCTGTGATACCAAGCTGTGGCTAGTGTTTTATCAATGTCTGCTGTGATACTAGGCTGTTGCTAGTGTTTTATCTATGTCTGCTGTGATACCAAGCTGTGACTAGTGTTTTATCAATGTCTGCTGTGATACCAAGCTGTGGCTAATGTTTTATCTATGTCTGCTGTGATACCAAGCTGTGGCTAGTGTTTTATCTATGTCTGCTGTGATACCAAGCTGTGGCTAGTGTTTTACCTATGTCTGCTGTGATACCAAGCTGTGGCTAGTGTTTTATCAATGTCTGCTGTGATACTAGGCTGTTGCTAGTGTTTTATCTATGTCTGCTGTGATACCAAGCTGTGACTAGTGTTTTATCAATGTCTGCTGTGATACCAAGCTGTGGCTAATGTTTTATCTATGTCTGCTGTGATACCAAGCTGTGGCTAGTGTTTTATCTATGTCTGCTGTGATACCAAGCTGTGGCTAGTGTTTTACCTATGTCTGCTGTGATACCAAGCTGTGGCTAGTGTTTTATCAATGTCTGCTGTGATACTAGGCTGTGGCTAGTGTTTTATCTATGTCTGCTGTGATACCAAGCTGTGGCTAGTGTTTTACCTACGTCTGCTGTGATACCAAGCTGTGGCTAGTGTTTTATCTATGTCTGCTGTGATACCAAGCTGTGGCTAGTGTTTTACCTATGTCTGCTGTGATACCAAGCTGTGGCTAGTGTTTTATCAATGTCTGCTGTGATACTAGGCTGTGGCTAGTGTTTTATCTATGTCTGCTGTGATACCAAGCTGTGACTAGTGTTTTATCAATGTCTGTTGTGATACCAAGCTGTGGCTAATGTTTTATCTATGTCTGCTGTGATACCAAGCTGTGGCTAGTGTTTTATCTATGTCTGCTGTGATAACAAGCTGTGACTAGTGTTTTACCTATGTCTGCTGTGATACCAAGCTGTGTCTAGTGTTTTATCAATGTCTGCTGTGATACTAGGCTGTGGCTAGTGTTTTATCTATGTCTGCTGTGATACCAAGCTGTGGATGGTGTTTTACCTACGTCTGCTGTGATACCAAGCTGTGGCTAGTGTTTTATCTATGTCTGCTGTGATACCAAGCTGTGGCTAGTGTTTTACCTATGTCTGCTGTGATACCAAGCTGTGGCTAGTGTTTTATCAATGTCTGCTGTGATACCAAGCTGTGGCTAGTGTTTTATCTATGTCTGCTGTGATACCAAGCTGTGACTAGTGTTTTATCAATGTCTGCTGTGATACCAAGCTGTGACTAGTGTTTTATCAATGTCTGCTGTTATACCAAGCTGTGACTAGTGTTTTATCAATGTCTGCTGTGATACCAAGCTGTGGCTAGTGTTTTATCAATGTCTGCTGTGATACCAAGCTGTGGCTAGTGTTTTATCAATGTCTGCTGTGATACCAAGCTGTGGCTAGTGTTTTACCTATGTCTGCTGTGATACCAAGCTGTGACTAGTGTTTTATCTATGTCTGCTGTGATACCAAGCTGTGGCTAGTGTTTCACCTATATCTGCTGTGATACCAAGCTGTGGCTAGTGTTTTATCAATGTCTGCTGTGATACCAGGCTGTGGCTAGTGTTTTATCTATGTCTGCTGTGATAACAGGCTGTGGCTAGTGTTTTATCTATGTCTGCTGTGATACCAGGCTGTGGCTAGTGTTTTTTCTATGTCTGCTGTGATACCAGGCTGTGGCTAGTGTTTTATCTATGTCTGCTGTGATACCAGGCTGTGGCTAGTGTTTTATCTATGTCTGCTGTGATACCAGGCTGTGGCTAGTGTTTTATCTATGTCTGCTCTGAGGATGAGAATGAGTGAATATGCTACGTTCTCTTTAGCAGGACCAGCAGACACCAGCATGACTTCCTATACATCACTGTGACACGAACATGATACGGACACGTACAGAACGTGACACAACCGTGTTCATTAAGGATAAACGTGAAGCCGTTACCAGTCAATTCCCAGGGAGGGGGGGAGGGGGGGGAAGAGAGAGAGAGAGAGAGAGAGGAGAGAGAGAGAGAGAGAGAGATGAGAGAGAGAGAGAGAGAGAGAGAGAGAGAGAGAGAGAGAGAGAGAGAGAGAGGATAGACAAGGTTCACAATCAGCTGTAGGATTGACTAGGCTTGATACATCATGTGTGGGTCATTGCAACACTGTGACAGCAACAGGATAGCAGCAAGTCTGTTAGCTCTCTACTTAACATGTTAGTTGCTGTCAAAGAACTGCTGCAGGAAAGCATAAACCCCGACATCCCATTGCTGGGTGAGAGTGTAAGGGGACCCAGACTGGTCAGAAGAACTTACCTGAGAGTGTGGTCGTCCAGGATCTCGGTTCGTTCCTCAGGTAGTGGACCCCTGAGCCTCCTCCAGGACACTTGAGGGCCAGGGTCACCGCTCACCTGGCACTCAAACTCGACCTTACGCTCAGTGAGTGTCACTGTATCCTTCGGACCTCGTAGGAAACTTGGTTTGACTGCCGGCACGATCAGGAGTGTCTTAATATGCTTATAATAGCAGGATTACTAGCATTATTATTATTATTATTATTATTATTATTATTATTATATACACGGGGAGAGCGCTAAGCCTCAAGGGGTCATACAGGGTCTGGGAGAAATGGGAGGTAATTAGGTTCAATCCAAGGAAGATGAGTGAAGCTCAGATTCCTTGGATCAGGAGCCCCTCGACAGGTCAGGTTAGTGTGGCAGGTGACGAAGGTGTGACAGGTCAGGAAGGTGTAGCAAATCAGGAAGGTGAGGCAGGTCAGTAAGGTGAGGCAGGTCAATAAGGTGCGGCAGGTCAGTAAGGTGTGGCAGGTCAGAAAGGTGTGGAAGGTCAGTTAGGTGTGGCAGGTCAGGAAGATGTAGCAGACCAGGAAGGTGTGGCAGGTCAGGAAGGTGTAGCAGGTCATCAAGGTGCAGCAGGCCAGGAAGGTGTAGCAGGTCAGGAAGGTGTAGCAGGTCAGGAAGGTGTAGCAGGTCAGGAAGGTGTAGCAGGTCAGGAAGGTGTGGCAGGTTAGGAAGGTATGGCAGGTCAAGAAGGTGTAGCAGGTCAGTAAGATGTGGCAGGTCAGAAAGGTGTGGAAGATCAGGAAGGTCTTGCAGGTCAGGAAGGTGTGGCAGGTCAGCAAGGTGTGGAAGGTCAGGAAGGTGTGGAAGGCCAGGAATGTGTGGCAGGTCAGGAAGGTGTGGAAGGTCAGGAAGGTGTGGGAGGTCAGGAAGGAGTAGTAGGTCAGGAAGGTATAGCAGGTCAGGAAGGTATAGCAAGTCAGGAAGGTAGAGCAGGTCAGGAAGGTATAGCAGGTCAGGAAGGTATAGCAAGTCAGGAAGGTATAGCAAGTCAGGAAGGTATAGGAAGCCAGGAAGGTATAGCAGTCAGGAAGGTATAGCAGGTCAGAAGGTATAGCAAGTCAGGAAGTGTGTAGCAAGTCAGGAAGGTATAGCAGGTCAGGAAGGTTATAGCAGGTCAGGAAGGTGTTGCAGGACAGGAAGGTGTAGCAGGTCAGGAAGGTATAGCAAGTCAGGAAGGTATAGCAGGTCAGGAAGGTATAGCAGGTCAGGAAGGTGTGGCAGGTTAGGAAGTGTATGGCAGGTCAGGAAGGTGTGTAGCAGGTCAGTAAGATGTGGCAGGTCAGAAAGGGTGTGAAGATCAGGAAGGTCTTGCAGGTCAGGAATGTGTGGAAGGTCAGGAAGGTGTGGGAGGTCAGGAAGGAGTAGTAGGTCAGGAAGGTATAGCAGGTCAGGAAGGTATAGCAAGTCAGGAAGGTAGAGCAGGTCAGGAAGGTATAGCAGGTCAGGAAGGTATAGCAAGTCAGGAAGGTATAGCAGATCAGGAAGGTATAGGAAGTCAGGAAGGTATAGCAGGTCAGGAAGGTATAGCAGGTCAGGAAGGTATAGCAAGTCAGGAAGGTATAGCAAGTCAGGAAGGTATAGGAAGCCAGGAAGGTATAGCAGGTCAGGAAGGTATAGCAGGTCAGGAAGGTATAGCAAGTCAGGAAGGTGTAGCAAGTCAGGAAGGTATAGCAGGTCAGGAAGGTATAGCAGGTCAGGAAGGTGTTGCAGGACAGGAAGGTGTAGCAGGTCAGGAAGGTATAGCAAGTCAGGAAGGTATAGCACGTCAGGAAGGTATAGCAGGTCAGGAAGGTGTGGCAGGTTAGGAAGGTATGGCAGGTCAGGAAGGTGTAGCAGGTCAGTAAGATGTGGCAGGTCAGAAAGGTGTGGAAGATCAGGAAGGTCTTGCAGGTCAGGAAGGTGTGGAAGGTTAGGAAGGTGTGGGAGGTCAGGAAGGAGTAGTAGGTCAGGAAGGTATAGCAGGTCAGGAAGGTATAGCAAGTCAGGAAGGTAGAGCAGGTCAGGAAGGTATAGCAGGTCAGGAAGGTATAGCAAGTCAGGAAGGTATAGCAAATCAGGAAGGTATAGGAAGTCAGGAAGGTATAGCAGGTCAGGAAGGTATAGCAGGTCAGGAAGGTATAGCAAGTCAGGAAGGTGTAGCAAGTCAGGAAGGTTATAGCAAGGTCAGGAAGGTATAGCAGGTCAGGAAGGTGTTGCAGGTCAGGAAGGTGTAGCAGGTCAGGAAGGTATAGCAAGTCAGGAAGGTATAGCAGGTCAGGAAGGTATAGCAGGTCAGGAAGGTGTAGCAAGTCAGGAAGGTATAGCAAGTCAGGAAGGTATAGCAGGTCAGGAAGGTATAGCAGGTCAGGAAGGTGTAGCAGGTCAGGAAGTTATAGCAAGTCAGGAAGGTTTTAGCAGGTCAGGAAGGTATAGCAGGTCAGGAAGGTATAGCAAGTCAGGAAGGGTGTAGCAAGTCAGGAAGGTACAGCAGGTCAGGAAGGTATAGCAAGTCAGGAAGGTGTAGCAAGTCAGGAAGGTATAGCAAGTCAGGAAGGTACAGCAGGTCAGGAAGGTATAGCAAGTCAGGAAGGTATAGCAGGTCAGGAAGGTATAGCAGGTCAGGAAGGTATAGCAGGTCAGGAAGGTATAGCAAGTCAGGAATTTGTAGCAAGTCAGGAAGGTGTAGCAGGTCAAGAAGGTGTGGTAGGTCAGGAAGGTGTGGTAGGTCAGGAAGGTATAGCAGGCCAGGAAGGTGTGGCAGGTCAGGAAGGTGTGGTAGGTCAGAAAGGTGTGGAAGGTCAGGAACGTGTGGCAGGTCAGGAAGGTATAGCAGGTCAGGAAGGTGTGGAAGGTCAGGAACGTGTGACAGGCCAGGAAGGTATAGCAGGTCAGGAAGGTGTGGAAGGTCAGGAACGTGTAGCAGGTCAGGAAGGTATAGCAAGTCAGGAAGATATAGCAGATCAGGAAGGTATAGCAAGTCAGGAAGGTATAGCAGGTCAGGAAGGTGTAGCAAGTCAGGAAGGTGTAGCAGGTCAGGAAGGTGTGGTAGGTCAGGAAGGTATAGTAGACCAGGAAGGTGTGGCAGGTCAGGAAGGTGTGGTAGGTCAGGAAGGTATAGCAGGCCAGGAAGGTGTAGCAAGTCAGGAAGGTGTAGCAGGCCAGGAAGGTGTGGCAGGTCAGGAAGGTGTAGCAAGTCAGGAAGGTGTAGCAGGCCAGGAAGGTGTGGTAGATCAGAAAGGTATAGCAGGTCAGGAAGGTGTGGAAGGTCAAGAACGTGTGGCAGGTCAGGAAGGTATAGCAAGTCAGGAAGGTATAGCAGGCCAGGAAGGTGTGGTAGGTCAGGAAGGTATAGCAGGCCAGGAAGGTGTGGTAGGTCAGGAAGGTATAGCAGGCCAGGAAGGTGTGGTAGGTCAGGAAGGTATAGCAGGCCAGGTAGGTGTAGCAGGTCAGGAAGGTATAGCAGGCCAGGAAGGTGTGGCAGGTCAGGAAGTTGTAGCAAGTCAGGAAGGTAAAAGCAGGCCAGGAAGGTGTGGTAGGTCAGGAAGGTATGAGGCCCGGAAGGTGTGGTTAGATCAGGAAGGTATGCAGGGCCCGGAAAGGGGTGGTAGGTCATGAAGGACGCAGGGCCGGGAGGTGTAGCAGGTCTATCACTATGAACGTAAAGATTGACAGGGTTTTGTTGTTTAGAACCTGCCCGGTTCCAGGCCCCCAGGTAACTGGCCACCGTCGTTTTGCGCACTTCGATTACCCGCACCTCGTCAACTACCTCGTGTCGCAACCACAGAAAAACCACATTATAATCCCCAAAGTCAACCATAATCTACGACAAATTCAACCACAACCAACCATAAATCAATACAATCATATCAGCCACATGTAGCCATAAACCACCACAAATCAGCCATAACCACCTTTGATCAACCACAATCTGCCCCAATAATCAATCTATCACAAATAACCACAGTCAACCACAATTTAACTTTAAAATCAAATCAAAACAACTCAACCCAAAATTTTTTATATATATTTATATATTATATATATATTATAATAGGGCAAAGGGGGTTTAAAATCTTGGGGTGAGGGAAAAGTCTTGGAGGTTTGGGGGGAAATTCGTGAGGCAAGGGAAAAAGAAAAAGGGGGAAGGCAGCCCGGGGTTGAGGGGGAAAGTAGAAAAGTTAAAAGGTGGGGGTATGTTTTGGAGTGGTTGGGGCAATTATTTTAATAAAGTATGGAAGAGGGTAAAGGTCCTAGGGATTGGCAAAAGCATGCTTTTTCCTTTGTATAAAGGCAAAGGGGATAAAAGAGAGTGCAAAAATTATAGGGGATAAGTCTGTTGAGTGTACCTGGTAAAGTGTATGGTAGAGTTATAATTGAAAGAATTAAGAGTAAGACGGAGAATAGGATAGCAGATGAACAAGGAGGCTTTAGGAAAGGTAGGGGGTGTGTGGACCAGGTGTTTACAGTGAAACATATAAGTGAACAGTATTTAGATAAGGCTAAAGAGGTCTTTGTGGCATTTATGGATTTGGAAAAGGCGTATGACAGGGTGGATAGGGGGGCAATGTGGCAGATGTTGCAAGTGTATGGTGTAGGAGGTAGGTTACTGAAAGCAGTGAAGAGTTTTTACGAGGATAGTGAGGCTCAAGTTAGAGTATGTAGGAAAGAGGGGAATTTTTCCCAGTAAAGTAGGCCTTAGACAAGGATGTGTGATGTCACCGTGGTTGTTTAATATATTTATAGATGGGGTTGTAAGAGAAGAAAAAGCGAGGGTCTTGGCAAGAGGCGTGGATTTAAAAAGATAAAGAATCACACAAAGTGGGAGTTGTCACAGCTGCTCTTTGCTGATGACACTGTGCTCTTGGGAGATTCTGAAGAGAAGTTGCAGAGATTGGTGGATGAATTTGGTAGGGTGTGCAAAAGAAGAAAATTAAAGGTGAATACAGGAAAGAGTAAGGTTATGAGGATAAAAAAAAAGATTAGGTGATGAAAGATTGAATATCAGATTGGAGGGAGAGAGTATGGAGGAGGTGAACGTATTCAGATATTTGGGAGTGGACGTGTCAGCGGATGGGTCTATGAAAGATGAGGTGAATCATAGAATTGATGAGGGAAAAAGAGTGAGTGGTGCACTTAGGAGTCTGTGGAGACAAAGAACTTTGTCCTTGGAGGCAAAGAGGGGAATGTATGAGAGTATAGTTTTACCAACGCTCTTATATGGGTGTGAAGCGTGGGTGATGAATGTTGCAGCGAGGAGAAGGCTGGAGGCAGTGGAGATGTCATGTCTGAGGGCAATGTGTGGTGTGAATATAATGCAGAGAATTCGTAGTTTGGAAGTTAGGAGGAGGTGCGGGATTACCAAAACTGTTGTCCGAGGGCTGAGGAAGGGTTGTTGAGGTGGTTCGGACATGTAGAGAGAATGGAGCGAAACAGAATGACTTCAAGAGTGTATCAGTCTGTAGTGGAAGGAAGGCGGGGGTAGGGGTCGGCCTAGGAAGGGTTGGAGGGAGGGGGTAAAGGAGGTTTTGTGTGCGAGGGGCTTGGACTTCCAGCAGGCATGCGTGAGCGTGTTTGATAGGAGTGAATGGAGACAAATGGTTTTTAATACTTGACGTGCTGTTGGAGTGTGAGCAAAGTAACATTTATGAAGGGATTCAGGGAAACCGGCAGGCCGGACTTGAGTCTGGAGATGGGAAGTACAGTGCCTGCACTCTGAAGGAGGGGTGTTAATGTTGCAGTTTAAAAACTGTAGTGTAAAGCACCCTTCTGGCAAGACAGTGATGGAGTGAATGATGGTGAAAGTTTTTCTTTTTCGGGCCACCCTGCCTTGGTGGGAATCGGCCGGTGTGATAATAAAAAAAAAAAATATATATATATATATAATATATATATATATATATATATATATATATATATATATATATATATAATATATATATATAATGTGAATACACACGTACACATACCTAACTGATAAGGTTTATCACAAATGATAGACTTGGAAAGAGACTAACATTGCAAAACCTATAATTTATAATTCATTAGTGTATAATTCACTCTTCCCGAGTGTATAATTGGAAGTGAGTACTTGAGAGTTCTACCTCAGCGTAGTTATGCACTCAGGAGCACTAATATCTTCATCTGATAGATAGCAAGCACCTTATTACAAGTCTGATAGATATCACATAATTTACTGGTATAATTATCTTCAAAGATTATTACAGCAGGAAGTATAATTACTGTTGTAGGTGATAATCTGCTGATAACTGAAGGTGTCTGGACAGCGCTAATTATCTGAGGGGTTGAGGGACATTATTTTACAGTCTACCAGGAATCTATTAGTCTATCAGTCTACCTGGAGTCTAAGTGGAGTCTACCAGGAGTTTACCAGGAGTCTACCGTCTACCAGTCAAACAGGAGTCTACCAGTCTACCACAAGTCTACCTGGAGACTGCCAGACTACCAAGAGTCTACCAGTCAACCTGGAGTCTACCAGGATTCTACCTGGAGTCTACAAGGAGACTCTACCAGCAGAGTCTACCAGGAGTCTACATGGCGTCTACCTTTGATGAGTTCCGAGAGTTTTTCTACTCTCGGAGCCCGGCCATAGGCAATGTTCGTCTGGTGCTAGCCTGGTCAACCAGGCTGTTGCTGATGATGTGATGGATATGTGGATCCGCTGACCCACATATCCATCACAGCCTGGTTGATCTGGCACCTGTTGAAGATACTTGCCTAGTTTCCTCTTGAAGACTTCTGTACTTGTTCCAGCAGTGTTTCTGATATCTTCTGGTAAGATATTAGTCTGTGACCCCGGATGTTGACACAGTGTTCTCTTATTGTCCCCACCGCACCCCTGCTCTTCACTGGGTTTATTTTGCATTTTCTCACGTATCTTTCGCTCCAGTATGTTATGGCAGTGTGCATATTTGGGACCAAGCCCTTGAGTACTTTCCAGATGTAAATTATCATGTATCTCTGTCTCCTCTTCTCCAGTGAGTACATATTTAAATCTTCAAAGCATTCACACTAATGTAAACGCTTTATTAGCTCTAAGTGAGCCGTAAACGATCTCTGTATTTGTTCTAGCTCTGATATTTCTCCTGCCTTGAACGGGGTCGTCAATACTAAGGAATATTGCAGATGATAGAAAACAAGTGATTTGAAAAGTGTCACCACTGGCATTATTTCCCTTGTTATGAAAGTTCTCATTATCCACCCCGTCATCCTCCTGGCTGTGACCTTGATCTTATTATATACTGTGAAAGAAAGGTCAGCTGTCATAATTATTCTCAAGTCTTCTACGTGTTCCTTTCGTTGTATTTAACGATCCTCTTGAGTTTTGTATACAGTGTTCCTTTTGAGTTCTTCATTATTTACATACCTAAGCAGTTGGAACTTATCACCACTGAACGTCATGTTAACCAAAGCACGGTACGGGCGGGGATTGAACCCGCGGTGAGTTGAGTCAACGTCATGTTGTTCTCCACTGCCCACTGGAAAACACTGCTTACATTTTCCGGTAATTTGTCAGCATCTTCTACCGAGGTGACTTTCATACTTATTTGAGTGTCATCTGCAAATGATGATACACAACTGTGACGAGTACTTTTATCTGTCTGCAATGATGATGAGAAACAACAGAGGTGCTTGTTACCACATCTAAGCTGGATTTTGCTCTGTTTACTACTACCTTTTGTGTTCTGTGCGTTTGGAACCCGAAAGCTATCTGCCTACCTTCCCACGGGGTGACTGTGTGAAATCACCCCAATATCACTCTTCTTAAATGTCTTTGCAAAATCTGTGTAAATCACATCTGCATTTTGATCGTCTTCCAACGCCTCTGTAATTCTGTCATAATGGTTCAGCAGTTGTGACAGACATGATCGTCCTGCTATAAAACCTTACTGGTTCGGGTTATGCTGGTTGTGCTGCTCCATGAAATTTGCAACCTGCCGTCTCATCACTCTTTCGAAGATCTTTATGATGTGAGAGGTTAGGGCTACTGGTTGTTGTTGTTTAAAGATTCGCCGGTATTCTCCCGGCCCGGGCCTTTTCCAAGTGGTGGCCCGGCACTGGCTCCCTGTCTAGGGAGTGTCTGAGACCTAAGTCTTCCATGGGAGGAGGCACAAGTACCCCCTCATCTTGTGAGCTACAAGCTCGGGCTCAGGCACCAACCATGCCCTAGAAGGACTGGGAATGGTGTCGATCGTACTTCTCATCTCCGGGACCAACTGTCCCCAGGCCTAGCCACATTTCCCGCCCTCACGGGGCTCGTAGGGAGAAGCTAGGCCTCTCTGGTCTGCCATCCCCGCCCCAAGGGGGCTAATGGGAATGACAGTCTTGTGAGCTGAAAGCTCTGGCTCAGGCACCTACCCTGCCCTAGAAGGGCTGGGCATGGTGTCGATGCTCCCGCTGGACCTCGAGCTGCTGGAACTGTGGTCAGGGCTACTGGTCTGTAATTTTTAGCTAGTGCTCTACCGCCTCCCTTGTGCAACGGAGCTATGTCTGCACTCTTCAAGATCTTCGGTATTTCACCTAGATCTAAACTCTTTCTCCAAAGAATACTGAGGGCTAGTGCTAGTGCTACTTTGCACTTTTAGTTCAGATGCTGAGTGGGCAGGTTTTCAATTACTCCTTTGAATTCTATGGGATTTGTATTAATGTCAGTTAGTTGGTCTGTGAGGCCTTCTGCTGAAATGAAAAAGTTTCTGTACTGTCTACCTTGCTGTCATTTAGTGAGTTCATGAACAATGACTCATACTGTTCTTGT